ACGCTGAGATGCTTCGGTAGGTTCGAGATGGAAGTGCAGGTGGGACTACAGGTCTGTTTTTATCACCTGAGGCCTGAAATAAATAGATGCTTTCGTTGTAGCAACACATCATATAACAGTCGATGCAGTCTACAGTTATTACTTTGATCCATATCCTATTCTTAAAATTTTATCAATGCCACCTCATGTCTGGGGTGTGCTCAAAAGCAGACCCCAGACATTAGAAAACATTGAAATAATATTTATCTATTTTATTTTGAAATCCAAAATGTAGTTGCTGACAAACAACCCTTTTATGAATGTTTTCAAAAAGCATAAGACATTGGGCTGTAATGGATTATTATTGAGGGATCCAAATTAGGCTTCTTTAAGAGAGTTTATATTCACCTATAAAACCTCTTTGCAGGAAAAGTGAATGTGCTGCAGGATAAGTCAATTTAGCTCAAGTTGCTGTTTTTTTGCACCTAAAATTGTATTTACTGTAAAAGAAGTCAGAGGATAGACTGTTAAAAAATATCCTTACTGTATTTGTTCAAATTTACCAGCAGTAATCACACAATAATAATTAAAAAAAACATGCCCGAATGGCCTTTATTTTTAATATGTCCTTAGACTTATTGGTACTTGAATTGTATATATATTTTTTGTCTTAGATAAAAAGGAGTTAAAATGATGTCAAAAATTAGTGTCAGGTTTTAAGAAAAAGCTTTTGGAAGATTTCGTGAAGGATAAAAAAAACTAAAATCTCCCGCCTCAGTGAGGGGTTTTAAGATTTCCATAGCTTTTTTATTTGGCTTTCTAGAATCCAGTGTTGCTTATTCTTGTTTCAGGAGGTACTTTCTGCTGTGCAAAAATTTATTTTTCCTCTATACATTACCATTGTTAACTTCTGACCCAACTTTTTCCGAGCAATTACAGTTTTGTGCACTGTTAGCTTTACTTTGTGTAAAGAAAAGCTAGACTGATACACAAATACAATATGATATAAGTAAGCGTTACTACAGTAATTAATGAGGGAGTGCCCTTGGAGAAGCATGCTGTATACTCCTTAACAGGAAACCTTAGAGGAAATATGCAAACTTACATAACTGCGGGCAACAGTTTGCTCATTGTTTACCCATTGTTAACTTTTAACAAATTATGTTTACAACCATTTCGTAAACAGCAGTTTTTGTAACATTTTTTTCTTCTGCTTATTTATCAGCTTCAGTGTATATTATACCTGTTTTATCTGACAAGGATGGAAAGATTTTTGGATAGAAGCATGATTCCTACTGATTTTCATGCAACTAATTTGTTTAAATATGGACTATATTTTAACCATTTTAAACTTGCTGAGTACCTTGAATTGTTTCAGGTGTGATATCCAGTTCTTCTTTTCCATTATTGTATTTTGTGAAATGCATATCCCTTAGAACTTTGGTTAGCACAAGCATTTAAATGTCAAACAATATATTAGCAATAAAAAAAATCTGCCTTTTTTCCAGATTCTCATTTTCATGAACAATGATTAAATCTAATGAGCATAAAGACAGGTGTGGGTTCCTCTTACCATTTTTGTCCCAGTTGAAAAGCCTTCACTGTCCTACTTTGGTCAGTGAGCATAAATCCAGCAGAAATGATTGATTCCTCCAGTATATTCACATGTCTGTACAGCAGAAGAAAAGTCTGTACAAATTACTGAGCAGGTGTTTTATGTGACAATGGTTACGGGAAACAAATAGAAAGATATTAGAAATATGTGGGAGGATCTTATTTTTGTCAGACAGATCAACAATCCTACATTGAAACCGTCCCTCAGAAATGTACAAATTTAGAAGAAACTCCCCTCCAAAGGAAGAGCTTTCTCTTTGAACTAACTATACCTGAAACCCAGCTTCTATTCCCAGCATTAGAGTTAACTTTTGCACAAATCTAAAATCAGTTCAGTTTCTGATCTACTGACTGTATGATGGTATCTGCTTTTGTTTTTTATGTGTGTCATCCTTTTGTTCAAACGTCATTTTCTCCCTGTCTGTGTTTTATCTTAAACTGGCTAAACAGTCCCGCCTGGTGCTCTTCCAAGAATGGCTGAAAATGTTTTGTAATGAATCCTTACCTATAAAAGTTTTTACTGTTTGCTTTGTTTAGAGTTTGGAAATATGTAAACAATTAAGCTCAAAAGGTACTTTCCAAACAGGATGTACTCTAACCCTTGTTTAGTCAATACTAGTGCATTTACTAACACATATGGAAATCTATTTTTGGACTATTTAAGATCTTTGTTTGTGTGTGCATGTGTATTAAGAAGTTTTGTTTGGCAGGTTGCCTTAAGATATGATTTAAGTCTCTCTCTGTATTACTTGGTGTCAAATGTTCAATATAACTGAAACATTGTTTATTGAAACCGAAGGGAAATTTTATTTTGTTTTAACTCTCATACAGGTTTCTTCAGTTATTGTAAATGCTGATGGCTTTAGCCAGAATAAATCTCCTGTTGCGGTTCATCTTACAGCTAACTAGGAGAATTCTTAAACTGAAGATGACATTATTGTGTTTTCTGAAAGGGATGGTCAGGATTGTCAGAGGAATATTTCTTTATAAAATTATCTCCTGAGCTTCTAGAGAATTTCCCTGAGCATAGCATGTATTCTTCTGTAGCTTGTTGAGCTTCTTTAAGTCATTTGCTCTCAGCGGATGATGTCACAAGAGATCGCACTCTTTACAAAGGACCTGTTGATGATATGCAGCATCTTGCTGCAAACACTGAAGATACCTTACTCTACGGGCTTCATGATGTGGGATGTAGGTAAACAGGTCAATAGTCTTTGAGGAGTGTTGGCCGAGTTTCTTTGGTAGCAGAGCAAAACAGGAGGTCTTCCACGTCGCAGGAAATGTCTCCTGGGTTAATCTAAGGCTGCAGAGAAACTGGCCAAGCAATCAAGACTCTGGGACTGACACCATCTGGACCCGATGATTGATTCTATTTCATTCTTCCCATTCTGCCTCTAAAGGCAGGTAAGTGGAAGTGGGAGGGGGCAGCACTATTCTGATTTGGTTGGCAACAAACACAGAAGTAAGAGAGTTGATGGCAGAGGTGGTGATGAAACATTCGAGGTGTGTTTGGGAAGTTTTGGGTCAAAGGTGGGCTTGATGTATGACCATAGGAAGTAGTGAAGGGTGCTAAACTTATCCCTGAACTGAACCTATTGAAGTATGTGTTCAGTTCATTGGCTCTATCCAGACTCTATCAGTATGATCCTCCTTTATTTGAAGCCTGGGATCTTCTTCATCCATAACCACACATCTCTGATATTTTTGTTGAATTCTTCATGATTATTATAATCTGGTCATGATATTTCAAATTTAAACCTTCATTGATTAAAACGCAGAGCAGACATTCTACTGTATTAGAGTGCAGAGGCCAGTCGTTGAATCAAAGTCCTCATCATCAAACAACAGCTTCATTGGTTTTTAAATTTGTAATGCAGACAGTGCCAAACTGCCATATTTATGACTCTATGATTATGAGAGGTTATTGTCTTGCAGCATTCATTTTAAGAGAGTCAGACCATTCCTATATTTCATAAATGCAGTCAAGTGCAATGCATTGGAACTCCATTTAAATAGTTTATTTCTTAATTTTCTACTTTTCCTTTTTTAAATGATTTCTTCTTCACTCTGTGTATACAAAATGACAATAAAGTTTTTTTTAAGTCTAAGCTTTTTGTATTTTCATCAGTGTTGTTTTTAAGGCCAAAAAATCCAAAATTCCTATTTGTAGTATAACTACCTGTTATGGTGTCCTGAAATAAATTGTGTTTTAAACATTACTAAAGATCGGTGGTACTGCATGGCGGTCGCGAAAGTTTTGGTTGATTAGACT